TTCACAAACGAGCCCATTTTCTTATATTAGCCACTGCAACTCAAAAGTTTAATTTAAATTTAAAATTTTCAGCAGCGGACAGCATCCGTTGCTTTACAATTATAACAGTGTTGACGAGATATCACATAGATAACTAAAAACGTTTTGATATTAATACTCTTTTATTCCCATTATTTATGTACTCTTTATATATTTCTCTTATATAATTTCATTATTTTTATACGCTTTTATATTAATACAATAATCTTATAAACAAAGTTGTAATCGTAAGTAAGGAAACACTTGCACAATTTCGGTTTCGAACCAAAATTAAAAAAGTTCAGTAAATTCATTCAAAATTTCCTTTAGTTTTTTTTTAAATCTTTAATCCGTCAACCATGGTTTTCCCCTTTCCTTCATCAATTTCTTCATCTTTGAAAAAAGTAATTAAAAAAGCAATTATACCACTAAAAGGATATTAAATGGAGTATGTTTTCTGAAATTTGCTGGTCTCTAGATCTGGAAATAGAGGTTTAGAATCACCATACAAAGTTTTTCAACTTTGGGGGGAAAAAACTATTTCTCAACGTTTTGACAACTAAAAAGCTTATTTAAGTTTAGTTATTGATCACATCCTATTGGAAATTTAACGTAGTTTTCAATGGTATCATCGGATTTGTCCAAAACCTTCTAGTTTTGGAGTTATCATTGTTTATTTAAAGGAAGGTCGTGAAATCTTAAAAATTCAGAAAAAGGTGAATAAATCCGAAACTGTTGAGATTCGAACCATAGTTAACTATAAGTCTTTTTGGTTCCATTTTGAATGTAGAATCTACTGGCAAAGTTTGAAACACGAGTAGCCTAACACTCTGTTTATGATTTTATTTCATGATTTGACATTGATTAAACTTAAGTCAAACGTTCAGATTTTAAAAGAAAGTAACCACAGATTAGATTATATAGGAGCTCTTTATGTAAACCAGTATCTCCGTTTTTTTTTAAACCTAAAGCTTTTCGGTTTAGTTTAAGGCTTTTATTATACCCCAAAGCTTTTTCAAGGACACCCGTGTGTATCCTTCAGGCCGTAGCTTTTCCTCTCAGGATTAGGAATCTCAGCTTAATATAGGCCTTCGCATCAACACTGGATATGTTCGGCTGTTTGTTCTTTGCTGTATTTGCATAGGCTTGTTTCTGCTACTCCCAGCTAAACATATGCCTCTGGAGTCTGCGGTGTCAATAGTCCAACTATTATTCTAGTCCAATATGTGTCCTCATTGAACTTTCCTCGGCCAATTTATCGTCTTCTTCATTGCCCCTCTGCCCTGTAGTCCTACTCAGACAAGGATAATTTTGTTATTTGACCCATTGTCTGACCCTAATGCAGTCCCACCGACTCTGGACGTTACCACCGATGCTGCCATTGTGTTCAGTGCCGCCTGGCAACCACAGACACTAATTAAAGAATTTTTTAAATTGTCTAACTTCAGGGACTTGTATTTTCAATCTATATTCATAAATTAAAAAATACTGTAAAAAAATGGGGAAAAAAGATGTATAATGTGTTAATTGATGAGTTGTTCAAAATATGTACAATGCTTTATTTATAAATGAAAACAGTCGGCTATTGATAAATTTTGGTATACGTATCGCCTTGTAGAGGAAAAAGAATTTTTAGAATTCTCCGAATTGTTATGTAATAAACAAATTAATTTATTTTGTACGGGTGCCTCTGACAGCAATATTTTCCCCAAAAATAAACGAATTTTGAGTACAAAAAGTATGACTCGCAGATTCATGCTAGTCCCTCTATACGTAAAAATAAACGTGAAAAGGGTTGGTTTTGTCGGGAAGGAAAGAAATACGTCGCGGGTGGTGCAGGGGGCCCCTGATGTATTGGGGATCGGTATGGTTTGACAAGAGGGGTGGTGGCGGTGCCGTCCGGGGGTGAGATTGTGCATCCCTCCCTGACGTCATCTCTATTTACTATTCACACGCACGCACGCACACATGTACTTACAACCCCGTTTCATTCAGGGCCGCCCCCGCCCCTTCGAGCCCACCCCTTTCACAACGGAAAAACCGGGAAAAGGGCTTCTCGCCGTTGGCTTTTAGACTACTTTCTCCCTTCGCAGGCCCATTTTGTCAAACACCTTATACAAATAGCCTTATTTTACTATGAAGTCCAAGTCCTATCATAGTTCAAAGAGGAAATGTTAAAACATTAAACAATATGAATGGGTTTTACACCTACTATTAATCATTCATCTCTTCTAAATAAAATTTTTATTAACAACTGGAAGCTTTGATAAACTCGTAAATAAACCGTTTTTAGGATGTAAAATAGAAAGTTCAATAATGTTCATGTGCATCACGTTGATGTCAGTTGACCGAATAGGTCATTCACCATGCTCCCCAACATAAAGATAATCATACCTGTTAAAAATATTAAACATACGCCATTTCAACACTCAAAAGTGCTTTGAGATTTTACCATGATCACGTGTTATTGTTGTATATGTATAAGATTTTATTGATTTTGTTATGAAACTGTACGATTGTTTTATTACCAAGTCATGTCATATGATAGGGCATACGTGTGTGAGGTAAAGATATGAGAGGTTAAGAAGAAGTGAGCGAGAGAGAGAGTGAGAGTGAGAGGAAGGAGGGAGAAAGAAATAAAGAAAAACTTTATTGTGCCACGGGTACAGGTTTCTGCAAGGTCAACAATAACAAAAAATATGCAAATATATAAAGCAGCAACAGAGCCATAGAACAATAATTTGGTAATATAATAAATAATGTAATGGTAGCAATTACACCTTTTATTAATCATTCATCTTTTCTAAATAAATTTTTTAGAATATATACCGTATCAAACGTATACATAGTATAATTTCGTATAACTTTATTTATTATTTCTACTTTTTACAATATTTTACAAGTTTTTTATATTTTTTTAGCATGCTAACTTAACAATACTATACAAAATAATAACAAAACAATTGTGTTTACGCCAGTAAGTAATTTAATTGAATCACAGTTAAAAGGTGACCGTTGATCTTAAAGAGGGGGGTCTCGGTTAAGCCAGTTGTTGCTCTCAAGGCATGAGAGAAGGCTGTACATCTTTCGTTCCCTCGACTCTTACGATTGTCTCCATTATTTTAAGTTTTATTTTATTTTATTTCTTCATTAAACGAGTCCGTGCAAGTAGCCAATATTGGTCACAAAAGGGGGCCGAGAAGACTGGCTGGAAAACCATCACGATTTGCAAAACAAGTTGCTTCTGGCTGAGGCCCGCTCGAGCTCGACGCGGAGGCCGATTCTTCCGACGAGGGCGACTCGTGACTGGTGGTAAGTACACGTTTACCTTGCTCTTCGTTGTGACTAGTTGGTTCCTTGCGAAGATTCCAAATTACTGATTAATTTCAACTTATTTTTCTTTTATTTTAATTTTAGTTAAGTTACTTTATTTTCATTTCGTTAACAATTTTATTTTATTTTTTTTCTCTTCGGCAATAGCCGAAACAAATTGTTTAAATGTATTTTTCTAAACTAATTTTTACGCTAGTTTTTAACATTTATTTATTTATTTTAATTAATTATTTTTTCCACGTGACGTGTAAACGTCAATGTTTTCCTTTTAGAGGTTCTATAGATAGGTAGAACTGTATATTAGGTTTTTAATTCTTTGTGGGTTTTTATTTATTTATTTTTTTGATCGGCGGGGAGGGAATTACACATTTTGCAGGAATAGATTAAAAATAATTTTTGTTAAGTGGCGATCTTATATGGAGGCATATTTAAATATACATAAAAAACCCTGGTTGATGTCAATTCAAGCCGAACTCTAGTCACAAATTGGTTGTATAAATATTGAAGGGATCAACAATCGAACAAACCACAGAGAAACAAACTTGAAAAATAAAATCTCCTACATTCGACATTAACCATATTCAAACGTTGATAGTAATGGAGTACAGAGTTCATTGTAACCACCAAAAATGTATCTAACCGAGGAATTCATAGCTTTCTGTAGTTTTCTGCCCAATTATAACACCACTCTTATGCATTTTCTTTTCCATGTTACTTGCAAGTCCCATGAAAGCGTTTCACTAATTGTAACACCTAAGCACTTCACAGAATCGAAATAAGCAAGTCAGTTGCAAGTACCTTTGTTCTACTAAGTGATTTATAATCTAAGGTGTTAACATATCGGGAACTACCAATGTCTATCGTTTTCATTTTCTCTACCTTGAAAAATTTCTTGCTTGCAGCCCGTTTACAAACACTTTCAACATCCATGTTCACCTTCCTAAAGCCATCTTCTAATTCAGAAGGTGGCACATGGAAGTCAACCTGGAGATGACCTGCGTACACCAAATATTTATTGTAACTATTAGAAGCAATTATGTATTTTGACGTAGATGGAAAATAAAAGTGGACCTAAGACAGAACCCTGCGGTACTAGGTTTTTAACAGGAGGATGGAGAGAGGGTGGTGGTGGGAGGGAGGAATAAGAGAGAGGGTGTGTGGCTGAGCGAACGAAAAGAGAGAAAAAAAGAAAGATGAGGGCGTGGGAATGTAAAAAAAGACATATTGAGTGTCAGATAAAGTAGGGAAAAAGGGAAGAAGGCGGGTGGGAAATGGAAGAGGGACATGGGACATAACGTGAAAGGGTGAGAATAGAGAGATAGGTGAGAGTAAGAGATAATATTTATATTACGAACGAATTTATATGTGATATGGGTGAGTAAATGAGAGTGATACATGCAATTGGATTTTATGTAAAGCTTTTGTTCATTTGTTATAATTGTTTTTAAATTTAATCTAACTTAGGGAATATAAGAACAGAAACAAACAAAATAATATTTAAATTGAACTCAAGAAAATGGACGTAATCTTGAATCTTGCCCCCATTCATTATTTGATTTGTCGAAAACTTAACTAGACTAGGCGGACCAAATTTAATTGTGACCGAATGCCAAGAAGTTTAATCGTTTGTTTTTGCTTTTCTTTTTCAGATGGGCGGTTCCGGCGGAGGCAGCAACAACGGCAGCTTCGGCGGAGGCGGCGGGAACGAAAGGGGCGCCGGGGGCGGCGGTTCGTGGAGCCCCGGCCCCCAGGCGGCCCAGCAACAGCAACCGCTCCCCCCGAGCCAGGGGCCCCAGCAGCAAGCCCAGCCCCCATCCCCTTCGCCCCATCATCAGCAGCAACAGCAGCAGCAGCAGCACCAGGTAATTATCCGGCTCGGTCAGGATTAATTATCGCACGGCACGTCGCCAACAGCTTCCGAAAATTCCCCCCGGTGAAATTACCTGCTACCCTCCATCAGACAAGAAGACAAGTTTTGGCCAATGTTTTAGAAAAAAATTCAATTTTCATTCTGATAAATAATATAGGCCTTTCTGTTTTATTACGTTTCCTTGTCATATCAAATTTTTTTTCCATAAATGTATTCTTGCCTGTTTAAGTATATGTCTATTTTTTTCTGTGTGTGGTGATTAGTGACCGTTAGTCGATGATTATTCAGAAATCGTGAGATGCCGTCTGGTGTGATGTAGGTTTCAGAAAAACATTTTCTTTATCGTGCTACGTTTCGATCTTTATTAAGATCATCTTCAGGGCTCAAAGTGTTTGTTTTCTGCGTAAGTGTGCCATTCGTGCGTGTCGTGTTGAGAGTGCCCAACTTAGCAGCAAACAAACACTTTGAGCCCTGAAGATGATCTCAATAAAGATCGAAACGTTAGCACGATAAAGAAAATGTTTTTCTGAAACCTACATCACACCAGACCGCATCTCACGATTTCTGAATAATCTATTTTTTCTCATTTACTTTAAATTTTTGTTACTCAGTTGATATTTAGAGCTTGATATTTCATCTGTGCATTACCGTTCGTATAGATTCCCGTTACTGTATTTTACTTAATGCTGAAGTACCCCGTTTCTGAAAAGGGGAATCGTTAAAGGACGAAGAGACCCTTTCGCATTTCTGGCTATCGCCCCTATAAAGTATAAAGGGCGTTTAAGGGAACGGCCGGGCCAGTGTCGGTCGGGTAATTAGCATGGATAAGTGGGCAATAATAATAAAAGTGGGTGAGAACGGTGCCGGCTAACCGCTGAACGGCCCATATTTCCTTTATGGGCTCCCTCATAAATTGAGAATCCAGGGGTGGTGGAGGGTTGGCGATCCAGGAAGAAAATACATTTTCTCCTGGATTTTAACGGTTTTCGTTACTCGGGGTGTTCCAAAAAATAAAAAGCATACAATTAACATAAAATTTCCCTAATTAAACATATTAAATTACTAATTGGTGTGTTCTACGTAACCTCATACCCACAATGAATTAATGATCAATTAAACGGGACAAGTAATAAATAGTTAATTGATATATTTTAAATTTATCTAAATTTCTATTTTGATCCTTTTTCTCCTAACATGGACCTTCCTGGGTTAAAAAATTAACTTCTTTAACTTTTTTGTATCTTCTGAAAGGTTCTTTTAAGCCAGGACGTCGAATTTGAATTTATGAATAAACTCGCAAGATTCTATGAAAGTTTGCTCCCTGTGTCACGCTGTTTCTTTACGTTTGGATAAACCTGTTGGTCGTCTAACGAGAATTTGGTTTTTATTATCAAGCTGGCCTAATCACAACAAAAATCTAACCGTGAAAAAAGGGCCAAGTTTCCCCCTTATAAAAAAATTAGCCTCTCAATGTAATGATATCTACACTGTGGCCAAGTCCGTTCTTTTTTTATACCATAACTTAAGAAACCTCAAAAGAAAAGATAAAAGTTCCAGACTCCCTGCCAAAAAGGTCATCCTATCCTTGTGGCCCAACTTCACTCCTACTTTTATGAGCATCACAGTTCTTTTATTTTTATTGGTTAAGACTTAGCCAGTTTCTGAATGAGGAGAAAAACATGAGGACCATGTTTGCTCACATAGGAGGGGTGAGTGAAGGGAAGGTAGAGAACTGACAAGAAAAAAAAATACTTTCAGAATCTTCATTGCTCATTCATAAACTAGCCAAGTGTTAACCAATAAAAATAAAAGAACTGTGTTGCTCTTAAAAGTAGGATTGAAGTTGGCCTCAATGTAAATATCACTACTTCGATTGGATGGCCTTTTTGAGAGGGAGTCTGGAGCTTTTATCTTTTCTTTTGAGGCCTCTCAACATATTATATAAAAAAAAGAACGGACTGCCATAGTGCAGATATTGATAGGGTAATTTTTTGTAGGGTGGCTGGAACTTGGCCCTTTTTTCCGATAGGGTTTTTGTTGGGATAGCATACTTTTGATTGCTCGAGCATTGTGGAAGTTGTCTTGGTTTTTTTCGAAACAGGAACGATTAGGCATGTAGATTTTCAAAGATCGTACTGGCCTCTGTTGAGGAGTTGAGAGATTCCTCGGGCGTTGTCACGTCTTTTTATATTTTTATGCACAGATCATAACATGTCTAAAATTTATTATTTATATGTTTCGTTTCAATTAAATGCGATTTATTAAAAAAAAAAAAAAAAATCACTCCCGGTGGCCGTTTCTGCCATCGAAATCACACGTTCTAACTGAACGCGCAAAAATTTGAACGTCAAACGTTGCATTGAAAGTCGATTTTTTTTAAATCGATGGATGCGCGTGACTTCACTCATTTAGAACTACCTCACCACCGTAAAGCGGCACAAGTTTTAAGAAACTTGCAATTTTCAAATTTTTGCCTTTACTTACAGTATAAGCCCTACCTTTTTGAAGTGCCTTATAATTACTACACTTTCCCCAACTAAAGGTGCACGGATTATGAGAAAATTTCTGTTTTAAGAATTTTTTTACTAACTCGCAATACAAAACTTCCTTTTTACCAAATTTCACTTTTTTAGCTATCCGGCAAGTACCTTATAATTTTGATGATCAGTGAGTCAGTCAGTAAGTAACGAAAATGCAAATTTGAAATTCTCCCCTTTTGAAAATGCTTAATGTGCTCAAATTTTCATAATGTCCTAATTGACCTAAACTTAATTTATGTTTCAAATTTCAAAAGCCCATCTTGAGTGAAAGAAGAGATATGCGTGAGCTGAGATCATTAATGCATTTTTACTTCTCATTTCTTAAAAGAGCTCTTTGTATGAGAATATAGGGTTTTCGAAAAACTTGCCATAAAATGTGTTTGCACAATTTAATCATTTGGGTCCGCCTAGTCTCGCTGTTCATTTACGTACAGATGAGCCTACCGATTGTCCAAATCGAAATAAGTACTGCTCAATATGTTTTATGTTAGAAAGCAATGATTTACTGCTCGGGTTGTTGATGTTTTTATATTATTTCCTACAACAATTAAGCTTACGTTTGGATTTTTTTTCAACTTTCAATAAATTTACTTCGTATAAGTTACACTTTATTTCTGCCTCCGCAGGTTGGTTATTGTGGTCCGCCAAGTCTCGGTGTTTTGTTACGTTAAAATAAATCTGCTGGTTGCCCAACGAGAATTGGAAAACTGGTCTCAATCAGAAAACTCTTTGAAAGTGCTCTTCTGTGTGAGGATGTCGAGTTTTTGAAAGTTTGTCATAAAATGTGTCTGTGCCCATTCGATCATCCAGGTCCCCCTAGTCTCGCTGTTTATGACAAATATCTGCCGAATGCCCAATACAAAAAAAATACTGCCACTTTTGTTTTATATTTGAAAGCAGCGAAACACCGTGGTAGCAAGTTAATGTGTTTATAAAAAAAATCCTACAGGTTTTAAATATCAGCTTATGTTGAAAACCTGTAGGTTTTATTATCATTTAAAATAAATTTACACCGTAGGCTTTTTACTTTATTTATGTGCACGCAGGTTGTTTATCGTGCCTAGTCTTGCTGTTTCAAATAATACATCTTTTAATTTCCTCATAGTTTGTTTCTTACCTTTTCATTAATGGCTTCTTTTTGTCGAAAATTGTGTTCGTTTTCATCATTTTGGTCCGCCCAGTCTCGCAATGAATACATTGGCCTATATTACCAAATTGAATTTCCTAGAGTATAGAATTTTGACCTTTTCCTCGTAAAATATATGCTGCATTTGTTTTGGTTTTAACGCAGCGATACACTGCTTGGGTTAAAAAAAATATAAAAAATATTAATATTTTTCTAAGTTTTGAACCAGTAGTTATTTAAACTTAGTTAAAAAATGCATTTATTGTTATTGTATCACGCAATATCATCCGAACGGGTCCGCCTGTTCTCGTTGCTTCCATATTTATGATTTAAACCGGCCCTACCCTCTAAGAATATATACAAGCGTGTAATACATGATGAATTGGTAAAATTACTTAGCGAGGCTAGGCGGACCTGCAAATAAAAGTTGCTATATAGGATTTTATTGTAATTCATAGATCGGTTAAATTTTAATTCAATCGACACTATAGTTATTTACATAGTTGAATCAAAACAGGAAACTCTTCACATGTCGAAAATTTCCCTTTTCCCCAAATATAAACGATGTTTTCATCAGTAGAACGGTTGGGTTTGTTAATGATGATTGAAAAGACTCGAGTGTATTTTTTTTTAAATATTGATCGGATTCATTTATGGAAAAGGGGTTGAAAAAATGCCGAACACCGATCCACAGAGGGCTAAAACCCATTACACCGGTTAATTCGGCTCAATCAATCCCGTGTCCTATGGGAAATAAAATTGTATGACAAGGGCTAATTAATTTTATTAAAACCTTGTCAAAAGAGGTGAACTCTATCGGCCCTCTTCCTCTTTTTTCGCCCTGCCAACCCCATACCCAACAGTTTTAACGTGGAACGGAATTATGCAAAATGGACCGTGAATTTCGAATATTTTAAAAATTACGATATAAATGGATAGCCAATGTAAATTGATTTGGCTAGGGATAAAAATATATATCAAAAACTAAGATTTTTATAGGGCCTTTATTGATTAATAAAAAATTAAAAAATAGCTATAGCACAATTCGCCAAAACAATTTTTAGGTAAAAGTAAAATTGGCTATTTAATTAGTAAATAGATGTGATTAGGAGTGGACTGTTACGACTTGTGATATAACCAAAAAAAAAGATTGCACAGTACTCTTGGCAAATATTGACTTAGACAATTCAGCAGTTGGCCCATGTTTATCCAAAATAAAATAATGGATATGCAATAAATATGTGTTGTTAGTAGTTATCAATTAAACCAAAACCACAAGAGGTTGTTATGGTTTACCTGGTTAAAAACAGAAATCTTGAGAAATGTCATACACATCTACTATTGAGCACATTATTGTCCAGTATAAAGTAAATGGGTATTTAATAATAAACTGAGGTTAATTTTTCTAACTTTTTAAAAAAGAAAACTTTTCCCTACCAGGTAGCATACCAAATCACCTACCACATATATTTAGAAACTGCCACCGATCTAGTTTTTGTTCACTCTCGTCCACAGATTTTTTTTGCTAATTTGTAGATTTTATTTGTTTGTTGATAAACCTATCTCGTACTATTTTATTGTTCACTTCAATTGTGTCTTTTTTTTGTATATTCATATTTTCGTTTATAGATTTTATCCGGTGTCAAGCTGTTGTGTCGTTTAACAAGTCAACAGTACGCGTACTTTTCATTTTCTTCCAAGTTCAACCACTTCAATACAGTAATAAAACGGGGCTCGTTTTCGGCGGAGTCGATCTGCGGAACGGGTATGTTTAATTGGCGTTAAGTGCGCTTTTTCATGACGGCACGGAGGATTCAACAACCTGGGAGCCTCCCTTGGGCCGCCCGTTGTCGATGTGTGAAGAGAGCCAGAGCCAGCCCCCCTTCGGTTCGTTTGTGGAGAATTTATGTTAATGGCCGGGACCTTTCTCAGAAATCCGGAGATAATTGCGGGTTCAACGCCGCCCGTGGAATTTCCTTTGCGCCCTGCTAAAATGTCTTATAGACTTTCTGTACTTGATTTGTAACGTTTCTGAGTTGTTGTGATCGAAAGTTATCGAATGTTAAATGAAAAGAAAGCATAGCAAGACCAATTTTCGATGGTAGATTTAAAAATCTCACTTGGCTCTTGCCTTCCTCTTACAGACTCTCTCTCTCTCTCTCTCTCTCTCCCACTCNCACACACACACACACACACACACACACACACACACACACACACACACACACACACACACACACACATTCGCTTTCTCATTCTCATAAACTCGAATATATCTTTTAGTTTGGTCACCTTAGTTATCTGAAACCACTAAACTCCAAGTTCATCACCACCGATGATATCTACCATTCTTTCTTCCACTCGCTCACCACTCAATTTTTGTCATTTTTTTAACATCTACCTACCTAGATCCCCTTTCTTCTATTCATTCACATCGAATCACAATTCTGTAGTCCCCCCTCTCTCTTTCTCTCTTTCCCTCTCACTCTCTCCCTCCTTTGTCTTATTGGTCTTACTTCTTACTTTCTCATCTATCTCATCTCTCTGACTTACAAATCCCAATCTTTTCTACTTTTCTCCGCCCCGTCTCTCCTTTTTTCTTCTACATCCGGTCAGAAATATCAAACTTACCAATCACCAACTCTCGCCCAAATAGAGTAAAACTCATAAAGTGGTAGGGCTGAATACCGACACCGGTTTTGAAAACCTACACCACATTGGGTATATTAGATATAAACCCCCCCCCCCAAATGTTCCTCATTCATATGCTATGCAATGACTGAAAGAAAGGTGCCAGCCATATGCGAATGGGAAACCTTGGATAGTACAAGAAACGGATTGTTGCAAGTCATTGTTCTTTTTAAAAGAAGAATCGACTCAACGGAACTTAAATTACTAGGATAAGCACAACCCACAAGGTTCCATAGCATGGGGAACACCGAAACCCACTTCCGATAGTTATGTTTTTTTGTTTTTGTCTTCCCACACTTTGTCTTGCACATCCAAAATATCTACAATAGTATCTATCCAAATACTTATTTTTTCTCTTTCAATAAAATGAATATATAAGAATTAATGACCGTGTAAAATAATAAGGTGCAGTAAAGAATGCCTACCTACTGACTCACTCTACCGTGTATTTTTTTTCTGCTAGTTAGATATTTACCCTTATCATGTCTATAAATCTACTGAAAGATTCATACTAGAAAGGCTAGGCTTGGTGGATTGTATTGAGTTCTTATTAATGTCCAAGAATTTATGCTTGAAAGTTTTAGTATAATTGGGGAAGCTGTAACAAATTGTGACAAAAATTTAAGAATTTCCTGTTGAGAAAAAAATCTTTTGTGGAGTCTCATTGTATGAATTGTACATTTTCATATAAAAAGTGTTTTTGTTTTTTTTATAACGCAGTGCAAACCATGGACGCGTTACAGCCGCTTTTTGATTTTCATCCCTCTCCGCGTCGTACTCTCCTCATGTTAAATTGAGATTTTGCGTTGTTAACGTAAATGGCCTACGAGGCCGGCCCGGAGTTTTAATGCGATTTGTTAGTTCCGGATAAGAAGAGAGGCCCAGCAGCAATTTAACGAAGCGTAAGCCCTCCTGAATTAATTTACCCCAATTATTCTTGTATGTGTATCAAAACCCTCTCGGTCGGTTCATATTTTCACCGTTTGGAAAGGGGGCGGCAGTCCTTTTTTTTAACCTCCCCCGGCCCCTTTTTTACCTAGTCCGCCTCCCCTGCTAATTAATGCCGTCGAAAACGTTTTTGAAGATAATTACTTCCCCCTTGTTGATTAGTTTTTGTAATTTTATTACAGGCGCGCTATTTCCGTTTTATTAATGTATGAACCTTTTTTTGTTATCTAATTTACGCACTGCGAAATTAAATTGTTTCTTGTCCTTTATGTTCGGTCGTGTCGAGCACACATCAGCTGAAAAGAATATGACTAATATGAGCACAAACGTTCAGTAGATTATTTAATGAAAAAATCATGTTTGCTTATGAGGTATAACTAGTTTATATTGCATTAGACTCTCTCTAACACCTTCTTATCTCTTATTCACTCACCCCTCCTCACTCTGTTTCTCCTGCCTCCAATTATCCCTGTCTTCTCTTTCTCTCCCGCTATCTATATATCTACGTCTCGCTCTCCCTCCCTCACTCTCTCCTTCTCTCCATCTCTCCCCCCTCCTTCCTTCTCCTCAATCTCTCTCTCTCCTTCTCCTCTCTCTCTCCTTCTCCTCTCTCTCTCTCCTTCTCCTCTCTCTCTCTCCTTCTCCTCTCTCTCTCTCTCCTTCTCCTCTCTCTCTCTCTCCTTCTCCTCTCTCTCTCCCTCTCTCCTTCTCTCTCTCTCTCTCCTCTCTCTCTCTCGCACACACACACACATTCTTATCTCTTATTCACTCATCTCTCCTCACTCTCTGTTTCTCGTTTATTATGTGCATACATAATTTTGGTCCTCCGGGCCGGATGTTGGACAGACTTGAATCAATTTTTCAAGCTTTGACGTTGTTCGTCCTGTTGTTTGGTGTGTTTGTGCTTATGCTTATGTGGCCTTGAATTCTCTGGTTCGGGAGAGTGCCGATGATGTTTCTCCCGCTTTCGCTTCTTACCACTTCTTAACTTCTGACAACTGCATGACCTTTGAAACTTCTTTAACATCGTGCAGATCAGAAAAGAAAGAAGAATCGCCGTTTCCACATTTTTCAGCTGCCCCCAATTATCCCTCTCTTCTTTTTCTCTCCCTCTATCTATCCGGCCTATCCTATCCACCTCTCTGTCTGTGTCTCTCTCTCTCTCTCTCTCTCTCTCTCTCTCACACACACACACACACACACACACACACACACCTTCTTATCTCTTATTAACTCATCTCTCCTTACTCTCTGTTTCTCGGCCCCCAGTTATCCCTTTCTTCTCTTTATCCCCCTCTAATCTATGTACTATCTATCCACCTCTCCCCTCCTTCTCACCCGCCCTCTTTCTATCTCACTCACTCTCTTTCTCTCTCTCGCGCGCGCGCCCACACACACCTTCTTATCTCCTATTCACTCATTTCTCCTGCTTTCAGTTCCCCTTCTCTTCTATCTCACCTATCTATTATATGTTTGTGCTGGACGTGGATATTGTATGTGGTATGATGAATTATGTAATCACATTCATATTTCATCTAAACCTGTCTCTGTTCAAGGTTTGTTTTACCATTTATATGCCCTTTCTGTCTTACTTTTTGGCCATTTGAACTACAAACGTATAATTTTTACAGTTTTGTGTTGTTGCTTTATTGGTTAGGTATGTAAAATACAATTTTATTCTATTTTTTATATATTTGTCAGATCTTAGTTGACCGTTACTAGCTTTTACTAATATTTTTCCGCCGCCTTGGTCGAAAAACAAGGTAGTAAACAAATTTGTTGTTGTTGCAGAACATGGGAGGGCGGACGGCAGAGCAGTCACCGACGCCGAACGCGCACGCTCCAGATCCAGGGGTAAGTCGAAAAAAAGGCCGTACTTTCTCATGTTGACTCCTTGACGGGAAAACACCGGCTGATGTACGATCGGCCGGGACGATTTATTCGTGTCCTATCCACTTTTCCGGAGCGATCGCTCCCTCCGAACCCGGTCGTGGTAAACACCCCGTCTCTCGGAAAGCAAACACCTTCCATCCTGTTTTTTTTTTTTTTTTTTTTTTTTTTTAACATATCTTTCACTTTTAGCCGATGCCAGCAGATCCGAGGAAAGAGGATAAACCGCGTCGTATTCAATGCGTATCGAATCAACCGTCTATCGTAACGTTGTTCCAATCGTCGGCTGCTTTTATTTCCCTATGCCCGTGGGTTTCCGTGGCGAAATCATAACTCCCCCGGGACACAAAAAAAAGTGTTATGCAAATGACACGTCCTTGAAAGGAATGCGGATCCAGAAGGGGGCTGTATTGACAAGCCGGGGCATAATAACCGGCCCATGATTTATTCATTGAACACATGATGGATTACAAAAGGTTTTTAACGTCCTACCTGGATATCGTTTAATTGAAAAAGGAAAATAAATCCTGCACTGATGTTCGTTAACATTGTTAACGATTCAATTTTACCTTTACAAGTACTAATTAAGATTTTAATGGATGAAGGAAACAGTATTTGTTCAAGTTAATGGTCTTACAGGTGATAGGGGAGTAGAATTGTGCCCGAAGAGGGGGAGGAGGAAATGAAGAACATTAATTAGCACATATGTGTAATGTCAAGAAAAAAAAGGCATATTGAAAAAATAAGTCAGAGTGATGTGTCCGTTGGAAAAAGAAAGATAGGATGATGGTTATTGAGTGACGGTACAAATACATGGGAGGGTGTAATATCGGCTACACGAGAAATAGATAAGATAGTGGTGATAGTGAGAGGAGGTGAGAAGAAAGAAGAGTGAAGTTATATAATGAAAGAAATTAGTTATTAAGTGGCTGATGTCGGAGCCAGTTACACGAGAAATAGATAAGATAGTACGGAGAGAGAAGAGTGAAGTTATTAAGTTAATGAAACAAACGAGTTATTGAGGGACTATACAAATGTCAAAACAGAGATAGGGTAGTAGTGTACACATGAAAGTTTGAAATGCAGCGATATACACGAGAAATAGACAGGTGAGGGAGAGATAGGATATGATATACAGTGAAGTATTCCAGTCGAGAAAGTGATAGATGATAGGAGAGGTAGTCGTAGTTAGAGTAGAGTGGAGGTGGGTGGGTTGGATACGCGAGATGATACAGGGGATGTACAAATTAACTAGTATTTTAGAGAGAGGGACAAGTTTGCAATAGAAAGAAGTAAAAAAATGAATGTTTGGATAGATACTATTATTGGAAGTGACAAGGCAAAAAGAACTATCGGAAGTAGGTTTTGTGTTTCCTATGCTCTGGATCCTCATGGGCTGTACTTATGATTAGTTCTTTAAGTTTACTCGATTCTTCTTTCAACATGGAAAAAGACGATTGTTGTTGCAATATTTTTTATAGGTTTTGTCCAAGGTTTCGTATTCGAATATTGTTTGGCCCTTCTTCTTGCTCGTTGCATAGCTTATAAATGGGATTCGTAGTGTAATGCACCGAATAAACCAGTGATCGGTATTCAGCCCTACTGCAATCCCGAGTTTTACTCTCTTTGGACTAGAGTTGTTGATGTAAGTTTGATATTCGTGGCCGGAAGTAGTAGGAAAACTGATAGACTAGGCGGAAACAGGTAGAAATGGAAGGGGGTGGTTGAAGGAAAGATAGAGGGAAGTAAAAGAAAAAGGAAGATGGGGTAATACAAATTTATGAGGGAGAAATAGATAGAAAGAGACGTATAGAAGTTGAAAAATATAAAAAAATGAGAGGTGAGGGAATGTATGATGGAATAGAGAGGGAGGTTGATGGGGGATACCATGGGGGTGATGGACTTGACGTACACGTTGAGCCTCTCATCTGAAGCCCGACAGTTGTCCGTATTCAATAACGTATTTGCAAGGATGGCTAATAATGAGTCGGCCAAATTTATTTTGTGTTGGAATTGATGTTTCAAAAGCTTCTTTGGATATTGGCACCACCTGTAACGTTGAACAATTATTAGTTTCAGATTATTTCTGTCTGCCTAACCTCACTATCACTCGATTGGAAACGACTAACCTAAAATAAATTAGAAGTAGAATTTATAGGCATGAGAGCGGACGATAAGAGAGAAAGAGCGAGAGAGAGTCTGGTCAGAAGAGGGAGCGAGAGAGAGAGAGAGAGAGAGAGAGAGAGAGAGAGAGAGAGAGAGAGAGAGAGAGAAGAATAGGCGAATTGGAGGCAGGAGAAACAAAGTGTGAGGAAAGAAGAGGGACTGGAGAATAAGAGATACGGAGGAGTTAGAATCAGAGAATTAGGGGCAGAAGAAACAGTGTGAGGAAACATAAGAGAATAAGAGATACGAAGGAGAGATTGAGTGATTGTTTAACGATTTATTTATAAAAACATACGCAAAAGTTAGGCCTCTAGGGCCTTTCTTAAACTTAACGTGTAATCACAATTATAATATTGGTTTATAATCGCACAGACATAAAACAGAAATAACAAATTATTATAAAATCAACAATGATGTAAGTGAATAAAGTGAGAGTAATTATTCGGAAATCGTGAGATGCGGTCTGGTGTGAGGTAGGTTTTAGAAAAACCGTTTTCTTTATCGTGCCAACGTTTCGATCTTTATTGAGATCATCTTCAGGGCCTGGGATTTATAAACAAACATTGTTTTAATTTTATAAATACATGTAGGTTGTGGAAAAAATTTATGAATTTATACAACGCTAGAAAATTTTAGATTTTAAAAAACATCACACTAAAGTGAGAGTAAGTTGAACTTATAAGTTTACACAGAGCATAAATTATTAGTATTAGAGAGAGACACAGACAGACAGTCAGAGAGAGAATAATAGACGAATTGGAGACAGAAGAAACATAGTGTGAGGAAAGATGAGAGTATAAAATATATGAAGGCGAAAGAGAGAGAGAGAGAGAGAGCAGGTGGGCGTGAGAAGAAGGGGTTATTGAGTGACGGAACAACTTAGTAAATGGGCGAATTGGTCCACCTGAATTTTTAGTCAAGGTAGTTAGAGACATATGGGGTAGTATCATAGATATAGGAGGGTGAAATGGGTGAAATATAGATGCAAGTTACTCGAGAAATAGACAGACGAGAGAGTACGGAGAGAGAGAAAGCATAGAGAATGGGAGGGAGAATTGGAAGCAGGAGAAACAGAAGAGTTGGATGAATAAGAGATAATAAGGAGTGAGAGGCAGAATGTGAGGATCAAGGTAAATTGTAGTTGAATGACGGTACGAATTTGTTAAAGCAGAGATTGAAAGAGAAGGGTCGTAGTATATACATGAGGGTGGAATGTAGGAGCGAGTTTTCACGAGATAAAAAATACTTGAATGTTTTTATAACAGATGTTTAAAAAAAAACTATCTTATGCCAACGTTCTTTTTGGTTGGTTCACCTCGTCTTGTGAAGTGGGTAGTCGTTAAAACCGTGGCGTAGGGCGAGAGAAGGGCCATGTGCTCGGAATTTGTCTATTTGCCCAAATGGCTGTTTTAATGGGGTGGCGGATGCCAGGTGGAGGTACAACAGCCTTGCCCCGCCCTTTGCATTGTCCCGACACAACCCTCCGTTCGGGTCTATCGTGCGTGTTACGTTCCGGTGAATTTTTTTTTTCTCCACCGGGGGCTGATGTCCATACTCTCAATTGGTCTGCAGAAGTGATTTGGCAAAATAAATAAAAAAATTCTGAAAGTATTTGAGATATATTGTTTGTATTTTGTACTTGCAACAATTTTTCAAAATCGTATTTAGCCCCTTTATCTCCATATTCCATTTATTTTGGTGGGTTTTTTTTTCTGCCTTGATAAAAGAATATTTACTGATTATGTTTATAAAAGAAAAATAGTTAAAAATTTAAGGGTGAAATTGTTTCATTCGTCACGTTTCGAGCTGAAACCCCTTTTTCAATCTTTGCCTTCTTTTATTTGCCAACCCCAATTACCAATAAGAAACAGTGCCAAATTGCAACGGGTAAACTGAACCAGCTTCCAATGTTTCTAATGTCTGAATTCCAAAGTGGTTCTTGGAACTACCATTTTTCCTTTTGTGAAGATAACAGAGAAAAGATGTAGTTTAATAGTCTAATAAAATATAAATTTAAAAAAAACGTCGAGTCTAATTAGGATTTTTTAAAATAATTTTAACACCTTGAACTCGTTATAAAAAATTACAAAACAGAATTTTAACGCGATTGTGATAAAAGAGTTGAGGAATAAAAACAGAAAACAACCGGACAAAAACTGGTCTGTTAATACTACTTGAGAGAGCGAGTTGGAAATGAATTTAATCCAAAATTCCGCATTGCGAAAAAATTATTCCAGAGAGGAAAACACTTCAATAAAACTATTTACAACGGCAATTAAGAAAAAGGAAAATATAACGGCTAAAAATATAAAACCGGACGATATCTGCTTGGAAAATCTTACATACTCGATCTAATTTGCCTACTTAATAAAAATAAAAATAAAAAAACGAAAAATGCGTTGTTTTGGCTTTTCTTTAGTTATTTTAATTTAGTACATAAATAGCATTGTTCTTGTTGTTATTCTTATTTTTTAACAATGTTTTACATTGAGCTAGTTTTCATCAAACTAAATCATTTGGTATCAGAAGGATGTATCTTAGGTTTGTTTGTGGAATCCTTGTTTTCATGGAACTAAATCATGAGGTTTCACAAGGATGTGTCTTCGCCTGTTTATATACATCCTTGTTGTCATGGAACAGACTCATTAGGTATCAGAAGGATGTATCTTCGTCCTGTTTGTGTACATCCTTGTTTTCATGAAACTACATCATGAGGTATCACAAGGATGTATCTTCAGCTTGTTTATAGGCATGCTTCTTTTCATAGAATTAAATCATTAGGTATCGGAAGGATGTAT